AAAAGAGGAACAAATGTAACCTGAACAATAAAGATTTAATTAAAAAAAAAAAAAAAAGAAACCAAAAACAGACCTAGTCAGTTTGGCTCAGTAGATAGAATGGTAGTCTGTGGGTTTGATTCCGGACAAGGGCACATGCCTCAGTTGCAGGTTTGATCCCCAGCCCAGGTTGGCACGCATGCGAGGAGGCAACCAATGTATGTGTCTCTCACATAGAAGTTTCTCTCTGTCTCTCCCTCCACCCCTCCGCCCCCGCCCTGTATAAAAATCAATGGAAAAATAGCCTCGGGTGATGTTTAATTTAAATATTATGCACAGTAAGAGATTAACAACAACTAACAAAATAAATATTTTTAAAAATGAAATTAAAGAAAAAGAAAGAAATCATAAATTAGCCCTGCCCAAGGTGACATACTTATTTCCTGATGATTAAAAGTCCCCCATTTCTGCCTGGCCAGTGTGGCTCAGTGGCTGAGCATCAACCCATGAACCAGGAGGTCAAGGTTTGATTCCCGTCAGGGCACATGCCCGAATTGCAGGCTCAATCCCCAGTAGGGGCAGTGCAAAAGGTGGCCGATCAATGATTCTCTGATGTTCCTATCCCTCTCTACCACTCCCTTCCTCTCTCTGAAATCAACAAAAATATATTTTCCATTTATATGATTTTTTTAAAGGCAAAAAAATGACCAAAAGCAGATGAGTGTTTGTCGAGTCGAAGAGGAAATCAACTACATAAGTGCACAAGAAAACTTAAGTGTTGGAAATGTTCCACATCTTGACTGCTGTGGTGGTTACATGAATGCATACATAGTTGCCAAAATTCAAACCATACACTAAAAATTTGTGATTTTTTATTAAATGTAAATTATACCTCAACAAAATTAGGACAAAAAAATCCCTCTCAAACTGGCTAAAAAAAAAAAAATGAAAATTTGATAGACTGCATCTGAAATAGATAATAAATTTTTAAAAGAGTGGGTGCTTAGCTCACAAACAGAATAAATAATTGTCAAGACATTAAGACCTACACCACAATGTGAATGTATATAATGTCACTATACTGTATACTTAAAAATGGTTAAGATGACAAATTTTGTTATGTATGTTTTACAATAAAAGTAATTTAACACCTATTACAATGAGCTATATTAACAGGTTGCTCTTAGTTCTAAATTTAAATTCCAGCAAACAGTTAAAAACACCATGCTTGTACTTTACAAAAGAAAAGGTGGTAAAAAGCTTAGGTGTCAAGCTAAGACACTACTTCAAATACTAAGTGAGCCCTGTTGAAGTAGCTCAGTTGGTTGGAGCATCGTCCCATACATCAAAAAGTCAGGGTACATATGGGAGGCAACCAATGGATGTTTCTCTTTCTCTTTCTCGCTCTCTCTTTTTACATGAATGCATACATAGTTGCCAAAATTCAAACCATACACTAAAAATTTGTGATTTTTTATTAAATGTAAATTATACCTCAACAAAATTAGGACAAAAAAATCCCTCTCAAACTGGCTAAAAAAAAAAAAATGAAAATTTGATAGACTGCATCTGAAATAGATAATAAATTTTTAAAAGAGTGGGTGCTTAGCTCACAAACAGAATAAATAATTGTCAAGACATTAAGACCTACACCACAATGTGAATGTATATAATGTCACTATACTGTACACTTAAAAATGGTTAAGATGACAAATTTTGTTATGTATGTTTTACAATAAAAGTAATTTAACACCTATTACAATGAGCTATATTAACAGGTTGCTCTTAGTTCTAAATTTAAATTCCAGCAAACAGTTAAAAACACCATGCTTGTACTTTACAAAAGAAAAGGTGGTAAAAAGCTTAGGTGTCAAGCTAAGACACTACTTCAAATACTGACTCTGTTACTTGTGATTGTGCAATACTGAGCAAGTTGCATAAGGTCTTTTTTCTTCAAATAATGATAACTATATCTACCCTCACAAAGTTGTACTACAAATGTAATAAAATAAACTATCAATAATTGGACAATTATTAATATAATTTTACTACTGCTACTACTGCTATGACAATATTTTCAGAAAAAATAAGCCATTTTCTCAGATTGTATTAACATACAGTTTATATAAAAAGACACCAAAAAATATGGAATGACTTTAAAATGTTAACACTATAACATAAATGTATTCATAAGCATCCAACTAACCACAGCAAATTTCAAAATGACATGAAACCAGGAGTCTGATTTACTTTTTAGATTGTGATAGCATGACAGCCTCTGCTTTATACAATAAGTAATAATTATTTGAATAAAACTGCAGCAAACAGTAGCCACACAAGGTTTAGATAAAATCAGCTTTTCTCGTCTTTTTTAATGGACATTCTAGAAAAAAAAAGCATCTGAGCTCCATCTAGTGGATAAAAAAGAAATACACTAGTTTATGAAAACAGAAGCTGTATATAATTAAATGCAAACAATTACATGACATTTTTCTTATTTGGATTTTTAGGTAGGTTTCAATAATATTAGGATTTCAAAGTATGGTTATTTCTCTGTAAAACCAGTAACTGTAGAGTCTTAATACAGTCTTAATATTAGTCTTAATATATATTCTTCCTTTATACTATATGTTAGCTTATAGTAGTTTTTAGATACTGGTGATTTTATAAAATGAAGCAAAATAAGATACTATTTTCCCTACAGTCAGTTAGTTTATTAGAAATAAAAATAAAATAAACTTATAATAAGATGAAAAAGACCAAATAAAGAAATTATGGAAAGCCAAACAAACAAAAAAACCTAGGACAAAATCAATAGAGAAAAATCCAAATTGAAAAAATTAGGACATTTAAATTAGGACATCTAGATAAAAAAATTTTTATTGGCCATCCTCTAACACACTATACAGAAAGATTTATCTTCTACTTTTCCTCTAATACTTAGTTATCAATTATATGTCTCCATTATCTTTTATCTCACAGCCAATGTCCAAGTTCAAGTTCTCATCAGCTCTCATCCAGCCTACTGCAATTCTTCTTCTACTCTCTCTCTGCCTTTTCCCTTGGCCCCCAGTAACCCATCAACCACACTGATCCAGGGTAATCTTTGTAAGTAGTAAATCTGATGTATAACTAACTTCCTCTTTTGCAAGGCCCAATATAATTTAGTTACTGTACACCTCTACTGCAAGATAAAGAAACATTCCCTGCATTGCGTTCATTCTGAGCTTTGTACACACTTAAACAAAATGCCTACCACACTAAACTACAACAAAATACGTTCTTCCCTCCAAATGATGATCCTCTTGACAAGATATAACTACTTGTTTATATTTGTATCGCCACCATGTGGCACAAGATTATATTTTAAATGCTTACTGAACAAACAAATCAGTTACTAGAAAGAAGGGAAGAAACAAAAGGAAAAATAACATGAGATAGTTTTTACCTGCACAAGTTCATTGAGGACAACAGCATCAAAGCCAGAAAGGTACTGCACATAATACCTCTGCATTACAGGTCCGTATTTCCTTACATGTGCTCTAAGCTCTTCCATGTAAAATATCAATTCAGCAATGTGCCTTTTTTTTAATTGAAAAAAAAAAACATTTCAAAAAATAAATTTATTGTTATCAAGGAAAATGTGAAATGCCTTTGATATTATAAGAAGTTACTTTTAGAAAAATTACTGTTAAACATTTAATGTCAATTATGTTTTTAAATTATTTAACATGAATAAAGAAAGCAAAAGAAAAGCTAAGACTAAAAAACTGATAAGAGGAAAATCCAAAATGAACATAAAATTAGAACATCTCATAAATAATCATTTTAAAATCACAAATAAAAGGAACTGGGAAGAAATAAGACTTTTCTATCTGCTCTTATTTCTCTGCTTCATTTATCTAACTCCTCATTGAGGGACTTGACAAAAATGACAGAAAAACATTTCAAATTATAGACTTGGTTGCAACTCCGTAAGGATTCTTAAATATGAATTCCATAGGAAAGTCACTGGGTATAGCCAAAAAACAACTTTATGACCACCTAGAGCAGTGGTTCTCAACCTGTGGGTCGCGACCCCTTTGGTGGTCCAACGACCCTTTCACAGGGGTTGCCTAAGACCATCCTGCATATCAGATATTTACATTACGATTCATAACAGTAGCAACATTACAGTTATGAAGTAGCAACGAAAATGTTATGGTTGGGTCACAACATGAGGAACTGTATTTAAAGGGCCAGAAGGTTGAGAACCACTGACCTAGAGTATTAGGAAAGGAAACATTAAAAGCCATAATTTTAAACTCAAGTTGACTTTGCATTCTAATTCATATCACCTAATGCTATGTTACAAATATGCATAACAAATATGAAAAGCCCTAAAAAAGTTTTTCAAAATAATTTTACTTCAAAGGCCCCAAATCCCAGTTATAAATCAAAATATACAAAAAAAGTTTTAATTGCTGCTAACTTACTTATCTATAAAGTCATCTGCACTCTTCTTTGGCATGTTATCTGCATGACGAAGTAGCCAGATAATTTCATCACGGGCAAAGGATAACGCCATAAAAACAAAAAGTGCCTAATTAAAAAAAATACAAAAACATTGTTTACTCTTACGCAAAGATTAAAAACAAAACCTATTCATAGTCTTTCTCTAAGTGAAAAGTCATTGCCAAGAATTGATAAAATCAAGTTCAAAAAGATGGCACACCAACAGAAAGGAGATGACCAAAGAGAAGTTGAAAGTATGTATCAAGGAAAGCATATATATAAGCAAGTAGTGAGAACAATGTAGAATGGTGCAGTTGACATATGAATTAAATCAATTACCTTGGGACCTAGCAAGCCAGGTTGATCAGAGAGGACTGTAGCCAATTCTTTCAGTGCAGACCTTAAAAATTTGCGTCTTTCTCTGTGCATTGAACCACTACAGGAAAAGACACTTATATTTTATCTGTTTCTACTAAAATTACTATTGGCAATTAAATAACTTATCATTGTAGGGTCAACATCCAAAGTTTTTTTTTATGAAGCAGAAACCCCTTACAAATATCATCTTCTATGTGCTTGCCATTAAGCGACTTACCAATTTTACATTTATCCTTGCCTTTCTTGTGCTGCTTTTTGTAACCGTGTTTGGTCTATTATTCTTCACCTATCAAAATACTACATCCAAACTTCAAGACCAATCCTGCAAGAAGCATTTCCTAATATCCAGATGTCTATTTCTGAATAATTTCTGAAATTTTAGTACCATATATCCTAAGCATTTTATAAACAGAACTATGAAATCTTCAACAGCAATTACTGTCCTCCTATATACATTTTTGTCACCCCAACATAGAAATCAACAAATATAACAATAAATATCTAATTTCCCATGTTCTCATTTACTAAGTGTATTCCTATTAAATACAAAAAACTGACTAAACAAGAGTTATATTTAATAAAAATATTGGGATGAGATCTATTTGACCTCTTGTTCAAAAAACAGAAAGACGAGGGAAGAAAAGGATAATCATAAATATTCTTATACTAGGTATTTCAATAAAATGCAAAGTAGAAAAAAGTTATTCTCACATATTAACATGGGGAAAAAATCATAAAATGTTCTTAGTATTCCAACTCGTCATATTATGCAAAATATTCAGCGCTTCAAGAAAGTTTTAAAATGTATATAGGTGCAAAAAATAAGTGGATACACACACATACACACAAAATATATACAAAAAAAATAAGTATCAGGAATATGCAATACCAGAAATTTAGCTGTGAGACAGATCAGTTTGAAAAGACAGATTAAAATCCCACTCTCTACCTATGTGACCTTATGTTCTACCTCTCAGTTTCAGCCATCTATAAAACAGATAATGACACCTGCCTCAGAAGATACATCTTTCAAAATGCTCAGATATAGTACTTTGTTATAGGATAGTGGCAGTAAGAAACTTGAAAGATACCTAAACTAAAAGTCATTTGTATGGTACTTCCTTAGAGCATTTTCATCACACTTCAAAAATAATTAAAATCTGTCTGCACTAATTCCAAAGTTACTAGAGACTGAGGTTATATACTTATTTCCTATTGATTATAAGTCCCCCATTTCTGCCCGGCCAGTGTAGCTCAGTGGTTGAGTATTGACCCATGAACCAGGAGGTCATGGTTTGATTTCCATCAGGGCACATGCCCAGGTTGCGGGCTTGATCCCCAATAGGGGACATGCAGGAGGCAGTCAACAATGATTCTTTCTCATCAATGGTGTTTCTATCTGTCTCTCCCTTTCCCTTCTTCTCTCTGAAATCAATAAAAACCTATCTTTAATTTTTTAAAGTCCCCACTTCTATTATATTTTGCATACCATCAATATGAACTCACTTCAACAAAATAATGCTTTAAGAAAGAAATTATTCTTTATTAAAAGTACCACAGATAAGATAGAAGTACTTACGCATGTGACACAGCCGCCTCTTTGCATTCTCTTATATCATTAATACGTTTGTTATAGCTATGTGAAAAAAAAAAAAAGTTGGAAACATGTTGATCTTAATTTGAGCAATAAGTCAAAATAATTTAATCAAATACTAAAAGTCAAATAGAACTGACATATTATCAACAAGAAAAATGCCCTCAAACTAGAAAGGCATGGAAGGGGTCTACCCACATCTTTCCTAGCCAGCACCTTACGTAACCAGAAAAGGCTCCCTAGATAAATTTCATAATATATTAGATCCAACAATAAAATAAAGTTCAAAATGTAGATTTTTTACTTTATTAATTATATTCCCTTAAGCTCCAATAGAGACATTAAAATTATACTTAAGATGTAACTAACAGTAGTTTCTAAAAATTTAAAGTGCTGACAAAGCTATTACTTCTGACTTTTTATCACTTCTGACTTAAAAAGCATTAAAAAAATTCTGAAAGGACATATACTCATAATCAACACTAAAGATTATTTAGGGATAGGGGCTCTGTGATGGAGAAAACTGGGGCAGGAAAGCATTTGATTACTTTAAATTAAATGAAACAACACCAACATCAAATAGTTTAAAGGTGCCATCTGAAAAATAAATATATGTCAACTTCATGAATACTAAATACAAAAACTCAAAATTCCTCAAGTGTTAAAGAAAACCTCTTCCTGAAAACCTGGCTAAAACCACTTCACCCTAAGAACTTCAACTTCTAAATTAAGAATTCTAAGATTTATGTGTTCTTGCGCATGCGTCCAAAACATACTAATTATATAATCACTGTCCTTTATAATTAATAAACTTTTATAATTATAGTCTGACTTGTAATTACTATGATAATTCACATTTTAAATTAGATTGACCACTCACTATTTAAAAATTAAAACTTTTCGACTTTAAATAGAGATATTTAAATGGCAAATTTATCATTTAAAAAAGCATAACCAAAAGACAACTCATTATATGGTGTCACTAAACTTACTTGTATCATACATATGGTAAGCTCACTCAATATACACAGACTACCTGGTTCTAAATGTTTATATATATTTAAATACGATTCTACATCATATTGTCAAAATAAGACATACAAGTTTCATGATTTGCAATCTGAATGAATTAGAAAATGACAAAGCCCATATGACAGGGTATTTCTGGGAACTCCATTGTCTAAAATAAAAGCTGAATTAAGACCTGAAAAGTACATAGGGTACTGTTTCACAAAGCATGACTGAGAAACTATTTGCATGAGAAAGTCAGAATCACCTACAGTGACAGAAATCCAAACAGTGGCCACTTGAAAAAGAGGGTGAGTGGAGGGGGACCAAGGTTGACAATACTAACCAGAAAAAAGCACGAGAGAATTTTCTGGATATAATGAAAATGTTCTATATCTTGACCTAGGGCAGTGATGGCGAACCTTTTGAGCTCGGTGTGTCAGCATTTTGAAAAACCCTAACTTAATTCTGGTGCATGTCACATATAGAAATTTTTTGATATTTGCAACCATAGTAAAACAAAGACTTATATTTTTGATATTTATTTTATATATTTAAATGCCATTTAACCAAGAAAAATCAAGCAAAAAAATGAGTTCGTGTGTCACCTCTGACACGCGTGTCATAGGTTCGCCATCACTGACCTAGGGTAATTCATATGCAAATTAATTGAGCTTTGCATCTAAAATTTGTACCTTTCTGTGAGTAAACTTTACCTCAATAAATTATTGAGGGGCGGGGGCAGATTCCTTCAACCTCTCTGACATACAAATATAGAAGATAGAGGAAGTTAGGAATGATGCCCAGGATCCTGGATTTTAGTTCACATCCCAGGGTAATTCTTATGCACATTAAAATTGAGATATACTGGTTAAATTGTGAGTATTAAACATAGCTTTATTTTTAGTAACTAATAGATGCTCTATTTTTATCTCAATTTAATTAGGAAATAGGTAAACAGGATAAGAAATAAATGCAGTAAATTTAATTTCTACCTGAAACTAACAAGCCCAGCATAACATTTCCAGGGATACCAGGATATTTTAGATGCTCCTAATTTTAAAATATTTCATAATTGCTACCAAGTCTGAGCTCAACTTGGCTTTTATATATTGGCTATAGAACCTCATGTGGAAAGAAATGCAAGATTTAAAAATTTCAAGGAACGAATTTCTGAAAATTATTTACTTTACAGAAAATGAATGTAAATAAGTCATTTGGAATACCTGCCTATTAAAGGGAAACACGATTTCCTATATGCAGCAGTCTGACTTCTCTAATTGTTATAATTAAATATTTCTGATTGATTCATATCCTATATAATGAGAGGAATATGCTAACCGGCCGTTTCGCCCTTAGGTGTAATGACCAAGCATGTCACGACCAGATCACGGATCAGCAGGAGGGTGGGCCAGCGAGGTACAAGCGGGCTGCAGAGAGCTACAGGAGGGGGCAGGCAGCAAGCAACCAGGAGGCGGAGAGCTACAGGAGAGGGCAGGGCAACAAACTATGGGGGCGGGGGGTACCGGGGGGAGCTACAGGAGGGCGGCAGCCACCTACTAGCACACAGATTCGTGCACAGGACTACTAGTACTTTTATAAGTACACTAAATCTAAACTAGCACTTTTAAAAAGTTCAAAACCCAGTGTGGTGACTGTGGGGGAGGTGGGAGGAGGTGGAAGTGAAAGAGGGCATAGAGGGGATAAATGGTGATGGAAACCATTTTTTTAAAAGTTCATAACTCTAAAATGTATACGGTGTTTTTTTTAGTACTATTTTTGTCTAAAACCATATTATGATTTGCAAAAGAGGACATACCTTCTTTCTCCTACAACACAAGTTTTAAAAGGGCAGGAACACTAGATATTTTAATCTGTGAAGTTACTTATAAAAAATATGAACAGTACCTTATCAGGATGATGGTTAAAAACAACTTGCTTGTGACTGATAAGATGGTACAGGCAATAATATTTTCTTGCATGATATGACCCTTCTCTATCCCCAAAACTTCAATGAAGATAATCCACTCACTATCCTTATCCAAAAAGACAAAAACATTGAAGATGCCATACCCTCGTATGTTTACAAATAAGTCTTCTGCAGCTTTGTGAATGTGGAAAACTTCATCCCGAAAGAGAGAGAGGCAAGAGCTACTTTGAAGAGCTAGCTTCCAGAGATTCAGTGCTGTTGCATCAGTATTGAGGATCCCATGGCACAAAATAAAGCCAACTTTAAATAAAAAAGAAAAGTCAATACAAATGTTAAAATTTTCCAAAGGTAAAGTTCTTTCAGTTACAAAATAGCTTTTCAAAAATTCAGAAAAGTAAACACAATCACTAAATTAAGGTTTTTAAATGACCGGTAATAATTCATATACATACAAGATGGCAATACTGTTGCTCTTTCAATAATTTTCTGTATTCTGCAAAATTAATTTTTGAACCCAGACTGACAAAAAGGGGGGGAGAACATCACTTCTGGGTTGTGAAGAAAGAGTCCTTTTAGTGAATGACTAAAAGACATTTTCAGAAATACTTATAAAATATTTTAAGCCAGCCCTAGCTGATTTGGCTCAGTGGATAGAACATCAATCTGCATACTAAAGGGTCCTGGGTCTGATTCTGGTCAAGGGCACATGCCCGGGTTGCAGGCTCAATCCCCAGTAGGGGCTGTGCAGGAGGCAGCCGATCAATGATTCTCTCTCATCATTTATGTTTCTATCTCTCTCTCTCCCTCCATCTCTGAAATAAATAAAAAAAATTTTTAAAAATAAAAAATATTTTAAGCCTGAGATCAGTTACTAATTAAAAAGCATAATAATCATCACAGTTGTTGCAATTAATGAAAAATAAATATACTTTTCTAAATCACCAGAATAAATGAAATAGCATCTTTCATTTTCATAGCAATTTATGGTTTATTAAATACTTTTTTCACACATTATCTCATGTGATCCTGTGGAGTAGATAGAGCAGGTGTCCTTTTATAGTTGAAGAAAGGAATGATCAATGACTTGACTGAAGTTATATTATTAAATTAGAGCTAGACTTAGCCTCAACTATTTACCCTTAAAATTCTTTCAATATATTATACTGCTCTCTATTATATGAATTCAAATATCTTTCACCTTTTATTATCTACCTTGGAAATCTTACACAAAGGTATAATAATCTATATATGTTTTTTTTTAAATATATTTTGATTTTTTACAGAGAGGAAGGGAGAGGGATAGAGAGCCAGAAACATCAATGAGAGAGAAATATCGATCAGCTTCCTCCTGCACACCCCCCACTGGGGACGTGCCCGCAACCAAGGCACATGCCCCTGACCGGAACCGAACCCGGGACCCTTCAGTCCACAGGCCGACGCCCCATCCACTGAGCCAAACCGGTTCTGGCAATCTATATATGTTTATTGATGTCCTTTCTAGCCCTCTATAATAGGCCATAAACCCTCTACTTTCATTCATTAAACACTTACTCAATGCCTACTGGCCAGTTACAAATCAACCCTGTTTTCTGTGAGATTTCCCTACAATTCTTAATAGTCACTCCCTTCTTTAAACTCTTGAATTATTAACACATAACTTGCCATTTATCTTTTTATTCTTAGTTCAACCATCCTTTATTTTGTGTGTGTGTTTTACACATATTTTTATCTTTTTATTCTTTCTATCTAACTATCTATCTATCTATCTATCTATCATTTATTTATTTATTTATTTATTGGTTTTTTACAGAGAGGAAGGGAGAGGCATAGAGAGTAAGAAACATCGATGAGAGAGAAACATCGATCAGCTGCCTCCTACACATACTGGGGATGTGCCTGCAACCAAGGTACATGCCCTTGACCGGAATCGAACCTGGGACCTTTCAGTCCGCAGGCCGATGCTCTATCCACTGAGCCAAACCGGTTAGGGCCAACCATCCTTTAAAAGTGCCACTACACAAGCAAGCTAGCTCTTTAAATAGCCATTTATTGTAGAGTCTGTACATATAGAAGTATATTTAACTTCCTTGAATTTCCTGTAACTTATAAAAATATTTTTCATACAATAGGGCCTCTACATGTAAGCCAATTATTTGATCTGGTATGCAACCAAAGAAACAGAATACATGTAAAGAAATTGAAAGAATCCTCCAGAGAAATTTTGTTTATAAAATATTTTTTATTCAATATATTGACTTTTAACTCTTAATTCCTGAGTAAAATAAGATTCACTTGATATCTCACATCTTATTGTATACTTAGATTTCACAAAATTGCTGCTGATAAAAGGTTTCTCTGAAAATATTATCAGTTATATTATGGATAAGCATATATTTTATTTTCTTAAGACATAGGTTACATTATGAATTAAAGCATAATAATTTGTTTATGATAGAAAAAATAATAATTTAAAATAGACTGCCCAAGATTAAGAGAATAGTTTATTAATTAAACCACATTAAACCCCTTTTCCTACCAAGGTCCGAATGAAAGGATTAAAAAAAATGTTTTTTAATTTTCAAGCCATAAAAATGTTGGAGAACAAAACTAGACAAGAAAGTTAAAGAAAATCTTTGAGGATAGAAAGTAGATAAAACTGGACTATCAAGTTAAAAAGAGATGGGGCTTTCTCTCTCTCTCTCTCTCTCTCTCTCTCTCTCTCTCTCTCTCTTCCCCTCCCCCCTCCTTCCTTCATCTCCTTCCCACTCTCTCTCTGAAAAGCAATGGAAAGAATATCCTCAGGCGGAAATTAACAATGACACACACACACAAAAAAAGAGGCAGGAATTAGTAACCCAAAACCCCAGAAATAAAGAGAGATCTTTTCCTACGAGTCCTCTGAGTCCAACCAACAGAGCAAGAATAAACTCTGAAAAGAACATCAGGATAAGTTCTTTTTTTTAAATATATATATATATATTTTAATATATTTTATTGACTTTTTACAGAGAAGAAGTGAGAGGGATAGAGAGTTAGAAACATCAATCAGCTGCCTCCTGCACACCCCCTACTGGGGATATGCC